CAATCTATGCATTTCTAGAACTGACCAAATAGAAGGATTTAAAATGCCATACATATTACCTGGCAAATTTCAAACTGATCACCTCGTTGCAAGGTTTGGACAGTACCAGTGATTTTGTAGGGATCAATATAATATCACGATGCGACAAGTATTGGAGTGCGAAAAAAATCAGAATGCTATCAGTTTTAAAATTGATTTTACCACTTCATCAACGATATATTAAAATTGATTTGAAGAATTTACAAGAACCAAACTAGGATGAAATGACAGAAGAGGAAAAGTTAGATATGTAGAAATTAAGAATTGATATTAAAGAGAATGATGTTAATAAACGAAGGGAAGTTCTTCCTGTTAGCAGGTTATTGCTGTTATGCAGTTTTTAAGAAAATTAAAGGCAATAATTACAGAAAATTTCATATGTGCAAGAAATCCTGAATGTAAACAACAATTTTCAGGAGATTAATAGAGTTTCTTTTTTATCTCCTAATGATACAACTTCAAATATGGTTCTATATTATTATGTAGTCATTGGTAAAAAAAACTTTTTTTTTTTTTTCAAGTTGACCATAGAAATATTATTTAATCTTCCGTTCGTACCTTGACGTGTTTAAACATAACGCGAAAAGTTTTCTTTTCTTTCATATTCCAAAAGTGGCAAGTCGAATTTTACCAAAAAACCAACCGTTTTTGGAGATTCCATCTCTATGAGTAAAGACAAGAGGAAAACTTTTCTTTAACGACGAATTTCATCTCCTCATGGACTTTGTCAAATCAAATGGAAGGTTTTTATTTTGTTTTTGTGTAATAGCATTTAAAATGATAATGTCATCAAAAAAAGAAAATGCATCGGTAAAGAAAGAAAAGCAAAAGTGTCTATTGATCGCTTTTTAAAACATTGCTGAGGAGTGAAGGTAGTTAAAATAATAGCGGTGTCAACGGAAAAACCGTTCTTATGACACTTCGAAGATCCAGATTGACGAAAAGTTTTCCTTTTCTTTTTATCCATAGTGTCTTTTTACATATATATTTTTATTTACAGCTGAATTTGTGTATAATATTAGAATAATATAACTCTCTATATATGAAATGAAAATCTTATCTAAAAAAAATCAATAATTTTATTTTTGACAAAGAAATTTCCACAGGAAAATTCATTAATACAACGGGAAATAACTTTGAATGTGTATAAACTGTTAATCTAGAGTTATTTCCCTTTTTATATCTGTGTAAAAGTTAATGAAACAAAGTTCAAAAAACATTTGTTGGTTGATGAAAATGATTTTAACTAACAGGAAATTATTAACTGAAATCGATTTAAATATTCTCCTTCTCGTGTGAGTGTAAACATGAAACGTAAACAAATAAGTTCTTAAGAATGCTTTAAAATCATTCCAGTTTAACTGCTTTAAATTAATTTTCTTCAAAGGATGGAAAATTATATAAAAATTCTTGCAATAAGAAAAAAATTAATTTAAATATAAAATGTTTTCTTTTCTTTGAGTAAATGCAAAGTCACGCCCTAGAAGGAATTTGGCTTTCCCCAGTGGATGAATGTGGCTGTTTTTAACTCATCAACGATGAAAGGAAGAAAGAAAAGAAGAAAAAACAAAAGATGAAGAAGAAAAATAAAAGAAGCAAAAGTTGAAAGATAGCAGAAAAATTCCCCAAATTCCGGGTATCTACCCTAACAATGATCTGTTAAGAATCTCGATATTGTCGTTCCGTTTGAGAACAGAAATTTATGACCCAGTGACATGAGGGAATTTGCATTTAAATATAAATAAAATTTCTAAATATATAGCAGAAGCATTTGTCCATATGTGGCAGTAATATTCGAGACAGGAACGAATAGTAGACATATAGATATATAAGATAGATTATGGACATAAAAGTTGACAGTGTTCGTCCGAGGAGATGCAACGAGTCAGTTATCAGGAGATAAATACAAGATTAAACGGTTGTGTCACTAGCATTGATACCAAGTTGAGAGTTGATTGGATAATTTAGAAATATCTTTAATTTCATCTTCTATGTAGTGTAGATCTTTTAGTTCTCAGCATAGCAATTTGATAATCCTCCGTCTCTATATGCTTTATCAAGATAAGAGTGAAAAATTTACTACAATGTGTGAGGCGTAAAAGGCATATTTCGGCATGCGTGTCGGGGGTCAAGACAAAGTCAGGGTACCATATTTCACCTGTGACCTCTGCAGAAGAATTTTAGAAACTAAAATGGAAATTTTTGCTTGTTTGGCGTAGGTTTTTAATTTAAATATTATTTTAATTTTATTTTTTAAAACGCTATTTAAAAAACTGGTTTTCGCTAAATTGTTGTATGCTTTTCCATTTGTGGTTTGTAAATATAATTTTTATTTGATAACAATATCACTTATCCACTACAAATTAATACAAAATTTTAAAACATTTAAAATTTATAAATTACTATAATTAATTTTTTAAAAATTAGAAGAAAAGAAAAAGAATTTAAATTCTTTTATTAAGCGCTATAAAAATGAATTTCTCGAAATTTTCATAAAATTAAATGTGTGTGTGGGGGGTGAGGGGAACACATGTAAAAAATATTTCTAACATAATCTCATTCACTTCTGAAGAAGTCCTTAAAGTTTCATTAAAATCCGACAAAGATCTGATTTTTGCAAGAATTTCCAAATCAGTGTTTGTCATTGTAAAAAAACACTGAAATTTCCTTTACTAATTTATGGTCACCAACTGATGTAAGAAAATGAAAAATGTTAAATTTAAAGGTTCTAAAAAAGTTTAAAAAATATAAAATCAAAATATCCTTTGGTCTTTCTTGTTAATAATAACAAATATTTTGACGGAAAAGAACTAATTTTAGTTCATTTTTTCATCATGGTATGTTCATTTTTGATTATTGTACATAAAAAAGTAACTTTTACAAATAACCAAATCCTGTCGGGATTTTCAGCATTTTTTATTTTTTTTCAAAAATTATACTCAAGACGAACTGTATTAATGTTTTTCATGCATATATTATAAATGACATCAATAATGAATAATCAATGCAAACATTAATAGAAATCACACATAAGCAGAGAGAAAGAGAGAGAGAGATGCAAGCACACACGCAGACACACAAAAGGGGAGATAAGCAAGTACCTTACGGCTTTCCTTTCCATGTGTATACATATATATATATATATATATATATATATATATATATATATGTATGTATTTATATGTATGTATATGTATATATATATATGTATGTATATGTGTGTGTGTGTCTGTGTGTATATCAGTTATTTATTTCTTACTTCGAGGCTTTGTCAGCCCAGAAAACTTTTACCACCTTAAACAGAACAAAATTCTTTTATTTATTCTGATAAATTTTATTTTATTTTATTTTGTTTAACATAACATAATTTATATTAATTACTCTAACATTTCTACTATTAAATATAATCATCATGTCAGATATAAAGTTGAAGCTTGTATTAGTTGGCCTATTGCCCTCAGCCCTACTGTCATTATGACTATTCATTTTAGCTTTTGATCAAATATAAATTGCTATCATATCTAGCAATTTCCCATACAAGTCGCTTATTTTTTATGATGACGTACAACCATTGTCTATAGTAGTTTGTTAGGATTTATTTCTTATAGCAATTAAAAACAATATCATCAATCTGTGGTCCGTGGTTCAATTCCAACTTCCTGACAACCATTTGAAAGTTCGTTGGCAATAATAATTACATTTTGCTATCTGGCCATTTCTCAAAAGTTATTGTTTCGTTTTGTTTTGAAATGATATGAGAAATAGAAAATCATAAAATTCTAATGAAAATATTGTTTCGGATTCCTTCGAAATCAAATTTGAGGAATTTATGGCGAATGAATTTGAAAAAATCTAAAATTCAATAAAACATTAGAAAATGGGGAATATCTTTTTTTAGATTTTTTTTTTAAATGAGATCTAATTGAGCTATGATCAGAAAGGTGTAGAGTGAGTCTTCATGTAAAACATGTTGTAGTGTGTCCTATATAATTGTTTACGAATTTTGATTGATCAGAAATACAATTCCTTGATGGGCATTTAAACTGAACATATATATATATATATATATATATATATATATATATATATATATATATATATATATATATTATATATATATTTATATATATATATATACATATATTAAACGTTATATATATATAAGTATATATATATATTAAAAGTTTTAAATATATATATAGAGAGCGAGATAGATAGATAGATAAACATTAATGTGTAAAACACGTCAAGAGAAAAAATGTATTTCTGTGATATTTTCATTTTAAATTAAATAATTTTCAAATCAGATGAATTTTACTTTCAATCAGATAATATTCCTCAAATAGAGTTTAAGAAAGAAGTATATTTTATATTTTAGACTCTATTATAATAGAGAGAATTACATTGTGACGAAAGACAAGAAGAAAACGGCGCTAATCAGGAATTTCATTAAAAAAAACTTAAAAACAAAAGGGCGCTAAGCAGATATATAAAAAAAAATATTACAGTCAATTTAAATTCGTTTTCAAATGCAGCAAAATATTTTGATTATTGGAAATATTAAATTTAATCTATTAAATTGAAATTAAAACTAAAATAAAATCTTCAAGACAGATTTTACATTTTTAAATATTCAATCTAAACCTTAGGTATCACGTTTTCTATGATGGTACCTACAAAAATCTGACAACGTGTCAAAAATGAATTTAAAGCCTACTATGATGCATACTGATATATCCAATGTGTTTCTGATAAGCTTTTTAATCCCATTGGGAGTTTTGCATTTTCTACCTGCCATTGCTTTTAAAATATAAATAAAATGCAGATCAAGATCTAAAAAAAAAATGCGATTTCTGTAGTGAAGCCCCAAAAATTCGCCTCCCGATTTGACATTTTTCACTCAGTCCACCACTGCCAAGTTCAGGCGATGGCCATGACACTGGATATCAGGATTGAGCTAGCTAGATTGGAAAATGAAAAGGAGATAGATAATAAATGATAGATAGATAGATAGATAGATACGATAGATAGATAGATAATAAAGATAGAAAATAGATAGATCGATAGATAGATTGAGAGAGAGATTGGAAAATGATATAACGATAGATACATGAAAAGGATTGAGCTAGATAGATTGGAAAATGAAAATAGACAGAGAGAGTATAGATAGATAGATAGATAGATAGATAGATAGATAGATAGATAGAGATAGATAGAAAAGATATAAAAGAGATAGATCGATAGACAGACTGAGAGAGAGAGTCAGATATAAGATAGATAGATACATGAAAAAGGATTGAGCTAGCTAGATTGGAAATGAAAAGGAGATAGATAGATAGATAGATAGATAGATAGATAGATAGATAGATAGATAGATGAAAAAGACGCAAATAGATTGATCGATAGACAGACTGAGAGAGAGAGTCAGATATAACGATAGATACATGAAAAAGGATTGAGCTAGCTAGATTGGAAAATGAAAAGGATAGATAGATAGATAGATAGATAGATAGATAGATAGATAGATAGATAAAAAGACGATATAACGATAGATAATAAAAGATTGATCTAGCTATAGACAGACTGAGAGAGAGATAGATATAACGATAGATACATGAAAAAGGATTGATAGATAGCTGAAAAGATTGGAAAATGAAAGATAGATAAATAGATAGATAGATAGATAGATAGATAGATAGATAGATAGATAGAAAAAAAGACGCAAATAGATTGATCGATAGACAGACTGAGAGAGAGTCAGATATAACGATAGATACATGAAAAGGATTGAGCTAGCTAGATTGGAAAATGAAAAGGAGATAGATAGATAGATAGATAGATAGATAGATAGATAGATAGATAGATAGATTATAGATAGATAAAAAGACGATTGATAGATTGATCGATAGACAGACTGAGAGAGAGATAGAGATATAAAAGACGATAGATACATGAAAAGGATTGAGCTAGCTAGATTGAAAAATGAAAAGAAAAGGGAGATAGATAGATAGATAGATAGATAGATAGATAGATAGATAGAAAAAAGACGCAAATAGATTGATCGATAGACAGACTGAGAGAGAGTCAGATATAACGATAGATACATGAAAAGGATTGAGCTAGCTAGATTGGAAAATGAAAAGGAGATAGATAGATAGATAGATATAGATAGATAGATAGATAGATAGAAAAAGAAAAAGACGCAATAGATAGATCGACAGTCAGACTGAGAGAGAGTCAGATATAACGATAGATACATGAAAAAGGATAGAGATAGATAGATTGGAAAATGAAAAGGGAGATAGATAGATAGATAGATAGATAGATAGATAGATAGATAGATATGAAAAGGTCGCCAATAGATAGATCGATAGACAGACTGAGAGAGAGTCAGATATAACGATAGATACATGAAAAAGGATTGAGCTAGCTAGATTGGAAAATGAAAAGGGAGATAGATAGAGATAGATAGATAGAGATAGAAAGATAGATATTTGAGATAGATAGATGAAAAAAATAGATTGATCGATAGACAGACTGAGAGAGAGTCAGATATAACGATAGATACATGAAAAGGGATTGAGCTAGCTAGATTGGAAAATGAAAAGGGAGATATATAGATAGATAGATAGATAGATAGATAGATAGATATAGATATGAAAAGACGCAAATAGATTGATCGATAGACAGACTGAGAGAGAGTCAGATATAACGATAGATACATGAAAAAGGATTGAGCTAGCTAGATTGGAAAATGAAAAGGGAGATAGATAGATAGATAGATAGATAGATAGATAGATAGATAGATAGATAGATATGATAAAACGAGAGAAATAGATTGATCGATAGACAGACTGAGAGAGAGTCAGATATAACGATAGATACATGAAAAAGGATTGAGCTAGCTAGATTGGAAAATGAAAAGGGAGATAGATAGATAGATAGATAGATAGATAGATAGATAGATAGATAGATAGATAGATAGATAGATAGATAGATATGAAAAAGACGCAAATAGATTGATCGATAGACAGACTGAGAGAGAGTCAGATATAACGATAGATACATGAAAAAGGATTGAGCTAGCTAGATTGGAAAAAAAGGAGATAGATAGATAGATAGATAGATAGATAGATAGATAGATAGATAGATAGATATGAAAAGACGAAATAGATTGATCGATAGACAGACTGAGAGAGAGAGATATAACGATAGATACATGAAAAGGATTGAGCTAGCTAGATTGGAAAATGAAAAGGAGATAGATAGATAGATAGATAGATAGATAGATAGATAGATAGATAGAAAAGACGCAAATAGATTGATCGATAGACAGACTGAGAGAGAGTCAGATATAACGATAGATACATGAAAAGGATTGAGCTAGCTAGATTGGAAAATGAAAAGGAGAGATAGATAGATAGATAGATAGATAGATAGATAGATATAGAAAAAAAAGACGCAAATAGATTGATCGATAGACAGACTGAGAGAGAGTCAGATATAACGATAGATACATGAAAAAGGATTGAGCTAGCTAGATTGGAAAATGAAAAGGGAGATAGATAGATAGATAGATAGATAGATAGATAGATAGATAGATAGATAATAGATTGATAGAGACAGATATGAAAAAGACGATAAATAGATTGATCGATAGACAGACTGAGAGAGAGAGAGAGATATAATAGATAAAAAAAAATTGAGCTAGCTAGATTGAAAATGAAAATGAAAGATAGATAGATAGATAGATAGATAGATAGATAGATAGATAGATAAGACGAAATAGATTGATCGATAGACAGACTGAGAGAGAGAGATATAACGATAGATACATGAAAAGGATTGAGAGCAGATTGGAAAATGAAAAGAGAGAGAAAGATATAATAGATAGATAGATAGAAAAATAGATTGAGATAGATAGATTGAAAAAGACGCAAAAAGATTGATCGATAGACAGACTGAGAGAGAGTAGATATAACGATAGATACATGAAAAGATAGATAGATTGGAAAATGAAAAGGAGATATAGATAGATAGATAGATAGATAGATAGATATGAAAAGACGCAAATAGATTGATCGAAGACAAATAGATAACGATAGATGATGAAAAAGATTGAGCTAGCAGAGAGAAAAGAGAGAGAGATATAACGATAGATACATGAAAAAGGATTGAGCTAGATAGATTGGAAAATGAAAAGGAGATAGATAGATAGATAGATAGATAGATAGATAGATAGATAGATAGATAGATATGAAAAAGACGCAAATAGATTGATCGATAGACAGACTGAGAGAGAGTCAGATATAACGGGAGATACATGATTGAGATACATAGAAAAGATAGATAGATTGAGATAAAAAGACTAGATAGATTGAAATGAAAAGACTGGAGATAGATAGATAGATACATAGATAGATAGATAGATAGATAGATAGAAATAGATAGATAGATAGATAGATAGATAAAAAGACGCAAATAGATTGATCGATAGACAGACTGAGAGAGAGTCAGATATAACGATAGATACATGAAAAAGGATTGAGCTAGCTAGATTGGAAAATGAAAAGGGATAGATAGATAGATAGATAGATAGATAGATAGATAGATAGATAGATAAAAAAAAAGACGCAAATAGATTGATCGATAGACAGACTGAGAGAGAGTCAGATATAACGATAGATACATGAAAAAGGATTGAGCTAGCTAGATTGGAAAAAATGAAAAGGGAAAGATAGATAGATAGATAGATAGATAGATAGATAGATAGATAGATAGATAGAAAAAAAATAGATAGATTGATCGATAGACAGACTGAGAGAGAGAGATATAACGATAGATACATGAAAAAGGATTGAGCTAGCTAGATTGAAAATGAAAGAAAGAGAGATAGATAGATAGATAGATAGATAGATATAAAGATAGATAGATGAAAAAAAGACGATTAGATTGATCGATAGACAGACTGAGAGAGAGATCAATGAAATAGATAAACGATAGATACATGAAAAGGATTGAGCTAGATAGATTGGAAAATGAAAGGAGATAGATAGATAGATAGATAGATAGATAGATAGATAGATAAAAAAAGACGCAAATAGATTGATCGATAGACAGACTGAGAGAGATATAACGATAGATACATGAAAAGGATACATAGAAAAAGGAAAATGAGATAGATAGATAGATTGAAAATGAAAGATAGATAGATAGATAGATAGATAGATAGATAGAGATAGATAGATAGATAATAGATAGATTGGAAAATGAAAAGGAGATAGATAGATTGATCGATAGATAGACTGAGAGAGAGTCAGATATAACGATAGATACATGAAAAACTGATTGAGCTAGATAGATTGGAAAATGAAAAGGATTGATAGATAGATAGATAGAAAAGGAGATATAGATAGATAGATAGATAGATAGATAGATAGATAGAAAAAAAAGACGCAAATAGATTGATCGATAGACAGACTGAGAGAGAGAGTCAGATATAACGATAGATACATGAAAAAGGATTGAGCTAGCTAGATTGGAAAATGAAAAGGAGATAGATAGATAGATAGATAGATAGATAGATAGATAGATAGATAGATAGAAAAAAAAAAGACGCAAATAGATTGATCGATAGACAGACTGAGAGAGAGTCAGATATAACGATAGATACATGAAAAGGATTGAGCTAGCTAGAGATTGGAAAATGAAAAGGAGATAGATAGATAGATAGATAGATAGATAGATATAGATAGATAGATAGATAGATATGAAAAGACGCAAATAGATTGATCGATAGACAGACTGAGAGAGAGTCAGATATAACGATAGATACATGAAAAAGATTGAGCTAGCTAGATTGAAAATGAAAAGGATAGATAGATAGATAGATGGAAAAAAAGAAAAGATTGAGATAGATAGATAGATAGATAGATAGATAGATAGATAGATAGATAGGAAAAATAGAAAAAAGATAGATAGATAGATTAGATAGATAGATAGACAGACTGAGAGAGAGTAGAGATATAACAGATAGAGAGAGTCATATAACGATAAACATGAAAAAGGATTGAGCTAGCTAGATTGGAAAATGAAAAGGAGATAGATAGATAGATAGATAGATAGATAGATAGATAGATAGATAGATAAAAGATAAATAGATATGAAAAGGATTGATAGACAGATGAAAAGGAGAGAGAGATAGATAGATATAGATAGATAGATAGAAAAAAGACGCAGATTGATGACAGACTGAGAGAGAGTCAGATATAACGATAGATACATAAAAAGGATTGATAGAGATTGGAAAATGAAAAGGATAGATATATAGATAGATAGATAGATAGATAGATAGATAGATATAGAAAGACGCAAATAGATTGATCGATAGACAGACTGAGAGAGAGTCAGATAGATAGATAGAAAAAGGATTGAGCTAGCTAGATTGGAAAATGAAAAGGGAGATAGATAGATAGATAGATAGATAGATAGATATGAAAAAGACGCAAATAGATTGATCGATAGACAGACTGAGAGAGAGTCAGATATAACGATAGATACATGAAAAAGGATTGAGCTAGCTAGATTGGAAAATGAAAAGGGAGATAGATAGATAGATAGATAGATAGATAGATAGATAGATAGATAGATAGATAGATAGATATGAAAAAGACGCAAATAGATTGATCGATAGACAGACTGAGAGAGAGTCAGATATAACGATAGATACATGAAAAAGGATTGAGCTAGCTAGATTGGAAAATGAAAAGATAGATAGATAGATAGATAGATAGATAGATAGATAGATAGATAGATATGAAAAAGACGCAAATAGATTGATCGATAGACAGACTGAGAGAGAGTCAGATATAACGATAGATACATGAAAAAGGATTGAGCTAGATAGATTGGAAAATGAAAAGGGAGATAGATAGATAGATAGATAGATAGATAGATAGATAGATAGATAGATAGATAGATAGATAGATAGATAGA